CAATTTACAGAAAAGTTGGGAAGTCTTTGACATGTTGGATATTATCAATGCTACATCAATTGCAGGAAGTACAGGAAGTACTCTTAGATTGTGCCGTAGTTGAGCACAGGTCTACTGTGTATCATTGCTGTACGGGAAGCGCAATAGGCCTGCATTCTGGCATTGACTAGTTGACTTCCTGTGTTAAAAAATGACTGAATTCTAAAGTACCAAGTTGATGCCATCATTTTCTGTGCATTGCACAGGAATGTAGCATCTGAGATAATGGGCTCAGGCAAGTGTTATAACGAGATTGCTGTGTTTTTAATTATTATTTCCTTGTACTATGCTTAAGTATGAATCAACCCAATGCAGATTACATAGCCCAGAGCATTCAACTTCAATTCAAGAGGATCCATCATTGCTAACATACGTTACTAACATCTAAAAGATAAAATCACTCAGTTCTACGTCTCAATATTATATAGAATATCATTGGAACTTCAAATTCTGACACTATTACGATTTCTAAGCATACAATTCAGATTCCTGAATGATACAAAAACCGTGGCTTCACTTCACTTTTAAGTTTGTCAAGTGTAGTGACTATTCATGAGCAGTGATTACAAGGCAGTATTCATACTAAAGGGATTAAGATGATAGCTATAAATCTTTTGAACTTTTAATCTTTTATTCATCGCATTTCCTTTACATTGCTTCACAGTGCAAAAGGTGGTGCACAAGTATGTTAGCTGAAGACAGGTTAGAGGTACACAATGTTCTGACATTTGAATGTTGTCTGCAGTACACCACCAATCGCCTCTATCAGCAGCTTTAGTCTGCCATGTTAAACATTACCTTAAAAGGGAAAGAAAAAGAAATAGCGCATGGCAGTAAAGCTCACAATAGACATACTGCACTTCTGACTTTGTGAAGCTAGGATGAGGCTAGAGCTTCATATCATAATTGAAGCAAGACAAGAAAAGCAGTTCAAGCATACTGTTTGAATTGGACAGAAAGACTGAACTTTGATTTTTAGAAATCAACTTCTTTTGTCTTTGATACCAATTCACAGAGTCATCTTACTCTCATCAATAATAATAATAATAATAATAATAATCAAGTAAGAAACCTGGGTTTGATTCCCTTCAGGGATAAATGTTGGATACGTTTCCTTACTCCACACACCTCTGTTTACCTAGCAGTAAGTAGGAATCCATTATTAGTCGATTGGTGAATCACTTTTCCGGTGGTAATAATTCTTTTTAAAAAAATTGGTCACCTCAATCCACGACTGTTTGCAGGACACTGTTGTGTGCAATTGGCTGCCACGTTTTGGCCACAAAATATACAGTCAATTCACTTTACAGTATATGTGAAGCACTTTGAGACGTCTCAAAGACGTGATAAAGCGCTTTATGAAGTGCAAGGATTATTATTATTATTACTATCCTATTTCTGTGACTCAGTGAAGCACACTGCAGTCCGAGCATGCAGTTGAATCCTACTTTATTGGATAGGAACTACCCATTAAGTGCCAGAAGCGAGTTCCTTCCTTCTTCTTTTCCCCACCCATCTTTGCCTCCTCACCAATGTTCATAACACCAACTTGTGTGAAACCGGTCACCACTGATCATGGATTCTGATTGCCAGTTGTTGAGCTTCACTCTGAGACTTTTGTTCAGCAAAGAGCTACAGATTGAATGCATGTCCAGGTAATTCATAGTCAGATTTCTAAATTTGAACCACACGTTCACGTCAAACCCCAAAATATTCTATTTTGCCTAAATTCCCAACTATCCAAGGAAATGTTGCAGATGGTTTCCAGAAGCTCCCAAAACACTACCACAGAGTATTACAGTTCTTCCCCGAAGATGTGGAGAACAGAAAACCAAGATTAACAAAATCACTGTCACAAGGTGGTGCTTATTGAATATCAGAAATCATGAGGGCAAAGTTCAAGTTGTTCAGAAGCATTATCCGACCTATCACACTTCAAGGTGACGCTGATCACCTTGTAAAATGATCTCACAGGATTACGTTTTTATTGTGGGGAAGAGTCAATTTGTTACAATTTCTATTGTTTACAATGAAAAAAAACAGATTTTAAATTCCATCTTTTTAAAATCATACACAAAACATGACCACAGTGCAGCATTGGATGGAAAACTTGCAAATATTGCTTATATCCAGGCACTTTGTCTTATATAAATATTAGTATTGTATCATCAGTCCTCCTAGATAGTTGACGCTGTTTGTAACAAATCTCTGATACAGACTGATACACAGTCTGTTAATGACTGTTAAACATGGGAAGAGTTATTCCTGTTGTAAAATACTTTAAAATTTAACAACTGGTTTAAAACACAAAGGCCTAGATAATATTATTAGATAATATTCTTCCAGATAACCAAACAACAACACAATTTCCTTGTAATTTCACGTGTAGCATCTCAGAGTGCTTAAACAGCAGCGTGGCTTGACGCTAATCCAGAAAGAGGGGGGCGACAAGTAACTGAAGCCAGGATCAAAGAGGAAGATATTCAGGTGTGATCTGAAGATAGGCAAGGAGAGAGTCAGTTCATTAGAACAAGCCAGAAGCACTCCGAGACGCTACACTGCGTGAAGGGCGCTATACAAATGCAAATACAAGGGCGCTATACAAATGAAAGTTGTTCTTTATAAAAAATGTTTTGTGATCTAGTAATGAGGAGTGTGGTATACTTAAGCCACATTTTTTAATATTGTAACTTTGTTTAAAATACTTTTCAAGTTTAAATGAGAACATTTATGAATTCTGCAGTCCATGTTTCCAGTATTTCATTCACGCGCAAGGCTCTGTGAGTCATCACAAATTGACTTGAACTGAAGAAATCCATTATTTCAAAGCTCTATTATGAAACCAAAGAACTTCACCTGTGTTACTAACTGCAAGAACAGGTTGACAAGACATCAATCTTTAACTATCTGTAAATATTTCTTGTGTGATCACATAGTACTAGTTTCAGATTTCTTCTGAATTCTTATTTACTCTAAGTAATGACATTTTGGATTCAATCTGTAAATCTGGGAGATATTTTATACCTTCTGAAGCGAGACCAAGAATCCAGCAAGAGATTACACTTGATCAAGTATCACATTTGTGCTTGTAAGGGGAAATTGTCATACTTTGTATTTGTACATGTCGTATTGGCTAATAAGAGAAAATGCAGTTTCTTTAATATTGTGGATGCAATCCTCCTTTTAAAGAAAGTCAAATTCATTAGGGCGACATCCACATGTTTCACAGTATTATGGGTTAGTGAACATTTCCATGGGTATAACACTTATTCCATTTGAATTGCATTAGTCATCAGTGAAGTATTTTTAATATGCTTCATAATTATTTGCTAACAAGTCATTGATCCCTCTTCAAACAAACACTGTGCAAACAACTGGTGCAAGGTCATGCTTTCCATTGGGTAGTCCCTCACCCACGCAGCAATAAGCTTGTGCTGGCTCAAATGGTATTTGTGATTTATGTACTGTTTATTGCGGTTTTATTTCCCTTCCTTCTTTTCGGTCCCTAAGTACTATTCCCAAAACAGAGGCCCATGAAAATACCACTCAAAACTGTCAAGAGGTGAAAATAGCCCTCCCTTCCTCATCAAACCTCCACCTGACAGCACAGCAGTAATCAGGATTCCAGGGCACTGAACTTGCCAGAAATAAATGGAAAGGTGGAGCCAAGGAGCATGAATTTCTCTCTCAGCTCTCTCCACTCAAAGCTAACCAGTCAGAATTTTAAACATCATGGGATAACATGAAGTGTGCTCCTAGTTTCAATTTCAACATTGAAAATTAAAATGTAATATAATAACAATAATCCTTGCATTTGAAATAGCACCTTTCACGTCGGGAGGACGTCCCAAAAGCCTACACAGAATTTACTGAATAGGGTTAACTGTGTGTTTGTGGGCAAACACGGAAGCCAATTTGCACACAGCAATGTCCCACAAACAGCCATGAATTGAGTGACCAATTTTCTTTTAAGATATTGTTGGCCAGGACACAGTGGTTCTCTGATTACTATGGTTGCTATTGCAATGCCTAATTTTTAGCACGTGTGCAACATTCACGAAAAAAAATCTGCTAACTGAATTGCCAAACTGTCTGACGCAAGTCACTTTCTTACCCCATTCCCTCTGCCCCTTTCTATCTGTTAGTTCTGAGATACATAAAAATTAAAGGTAGAACTCGTGAAAGAGATTTTAAGAATCACAGTTTGGCAAAAGTTTATGTTGGTAGTAACTGGTGATTGCAGCAAATCATTCTAGATAAAGGCAATGGATTTGGAGAGACTATAATACTCAGTGAACTGCAGCTATAATTAGGTGTCTGGTCCATTCTAATCCCTAAGACGTCACCCTCTGTTACAAGTATCTGTTGACACATTGCATGCCATGCATAACACTGGCATACCAATCTCAACATGCACAATAGTGTTGCAGACACTATTGTTTTATCGCTGAATTTATTTGGTAATTACTAAAAACAAATCCAAAAACCACAGAGTGGGGGTTCAACAGACTTTTCCATCTCTTCAACGTGAAATCCAACACAACTGCTTTCTTACAAGTGAGCCATTGAGCAATAGAGAAATGAGATTTATTGTTAGCTTTGGGGAAAATAATCAAACGGTCATTTCAAGTTCTATATACAGTCAATTCGTTTTACAGTACATTATTATTCACCCACAAAATATACAACTAATTCACTTTACAGTATATTCTGCAAAGCGCTTTGAGACGTCTCAACAAGATGATAAGGCGCGATATCAAATGCAAGGATTCTTCTTGTTGTAACAAGGTTTGTGATACTTAAGACTGCATTCTTTTCAACAAGGTGAAAAAAAAGGTTGCCTCCAATCTATTGCACTGGGGTTATCAGAAACAACGTGAGTTATCAGGGGACCTGTGGAAACAGACTGCGATTCTTAACAGAGCCCAGGCATTGCCCAGGGGGCTCTCCTTTGCACCCACCTTCCTCTGCTGTTTCTCCCAGGCTGGGTCCAGCAGCAGGTCCCTGTCCCAGTCCTCCTCCTGCAACATGTACACCTCCAACTCGCTCTCATAGTAGTGGTTATTGTATTGCACGCTTTCTTCTGCTTCAGTCATGATAACTTCTCTTCTTTGTTTGAAAAAAAATCAAATCAAACCCCAACAGCTCTCGGACAAGCTGTTTCTGTGTAGGGGCTGCTGGCTGGTGAGCAGGTGTTGAGATGCAATGCTCCCTCTCTCTCTCTCTCTCTCTCCTGGCTGTGCTGGTCTGTGTCTGAGCCCTGATACTCTTGTACCTGCTCTCACGTGATCCAGCCCTGCATCCCCCCCCCCCCCCCCCCACCCCACAAGTGTGTCAGTGTGTGTCTGTCTGTGTGTTTCTGTGTGTTTGCAATTGGAAAAGCTGGAGGAAATCTGTCATCATATCATTAACTTCTCTATAAGATTCTGGCACCAAGAGTCAGTGTGCACTGTGTTGACCTGACAAGCAGCTATTCTTAGACCTCTTGACATTCACCATCCAGAAGAGCTATTTGGCCCCTGTGCAAGCTCTCTGAAGTCCCATTCTCTTGCCTTTTGCCCATACCTTGTCCGGGTGTATCCTTTTCAAATATTTATCTAATTTCTTCTTAAAAACTAGTACGGTAACGGATCTTACCTCAACCACAGTTCTAAAAAGGGCATTCTGTAGCCTAACAAAACTCTGTATATAAAAAAATCTCCTAACCTCCCCTTTGCTCTTTTGGTAATGCTTTTTGAGATTTTCTCCAGGTTATAGGTAGTATATCAAATGCAAGGGTTATTATTACTACCTTAAATCTATGCAAAAATGTATTGTTACCACCTTAAATCTATGCCCTCTGTTTACCAATTCAGTGGAACTGTAATTTAAAAAACAGATCTTATAATATCTATCGAAAACAGCCTAGTATTTCCTCTACATTAAATCCCTGGAATCCTCCTTGTGAATCTCCACTGCACCCTCTCTATGACATTGGCATGCTTTCCGACGGTAGGCTACCCAAAACTGGACATAATACTCTTAACAGTGAAATAACAAATGATTTATCCAGGCTTAGCATTACTCCATTGGTGCTATATTCTACACCACAAATTATAAAACGTTATTTCATTAGCTTTTTTATAGCTTTGTAGCTCCCACCTTTAAAGATTTGTGTATATTAATCTCTCTGCTCTTCCACTTGTTTTAACGGTTTACCACTTAATATATCACCTCACAATTTTCTTTATTATATTTTGCCTACCATCTATCTGTCCAATCCACTAATACATCAGTATCCTCCCAATGCCATTTATAGTCACAAGATCTCAAGGGAGATTAGGATGAAGACAACTCTTACCATCCTCCCAGCACATTATCAAGCTGCTTCAAGCATCCTGGACTCAACCACCCTTCCTGATAACCCTTCATGTTTCAGTCATTAACTACCCTCTGGGTAAAGAAATACCTGGTTTCTGTCCTGAAGTGTCCCGTATAACCCTAAACCAACATGTCTTGAGATATCTAATATTGTAGTATTATCCAGAATTCACAAATCCATCTAGAATCTGGTTTCCTGAGGTTTTATGAGGTTTCCTGAGGTTTTATGAGGTTTCCTGTGCGATGTCTCAAGGCTTAAGAATCCTATCTTATCTAATCATTCCTTATCTCTCCAACAATGGATCAACTTTATTGCTCCTCTTCCCAGTTAGCCACAACTCCCTACTTTGTATCAGCTATAAATTTTAACATTTTACCCCATGTTGCCAAAATTTCTTTTGACTTTTGATGAATCATAGACTCAATACAAGTATGTAATTGTGCTGTAAGGTTGAAAATTAAATTTTACTGTTAACAGCCAACATAATTGATTGGGTTAATCAATTTCCAATTGTTGTGCTATTGTAACATTGCAACCGATGTGTGCAAAGTTGTATGCAACCCAGATGATGTTATTGTTATTTTGAAACTTTGTTTATTGTTACTTGTGATAAATCTCCTGAAAGTCATATTTGTGTATGTGTAGATGTAAAGCAAATGTTGTTAAATATAAATCAGATAATTTTGTCCCATCCAGTTAGCGATATCTCGGAAAGTTTAGGTCCAGTGCAATATTTACCAGGACTTGATTTTCCCTATATAGAAACTCCAGTATGACTAAACAACCCTCTTTGAGTCAAATTAGGCACACCCTAATGAACAGCCCTATACAAATTTAAATTCCACTCCATTTCTTCCTGTAGGGTCATTGCATTTTTTCACAAAATAAACACTTAACCCTAAAATAATATTTTTGGTTCTTTCAGCTCAGGTCCTAAGCTATGACTGTCAAGTGCCTTGATATGTTCTCCTTGATGTGAAAGCTGCTACATGAATGTAAGTTATAATTTATATGGTAATTTATTTAACATTTAGGGCATACACAAAGTGATTTTTAAATAAATTTGCTTTTTTATCATATTATATGATTCTTTTCCTTTTTTAAAAAAAGATTCTTTAATTTGTAGCTATTTAAATATTTGCAATAATAAATAAATTGTTTTACCAATTGGTTAAATGTGGTAAACAAATCATAAATTATTATTGAGGAGTTACTTGTTGAATACATTTTAAGGATATACAGAGTGACCAAAAAGTCATGATAACATTTATTTTAATAATAATTACTTTATATCTTCAAAGATATAAAGTGCATTATAAAAGTGTTCAGTGCATAAATATTAAAAGATTTTGCTGTAGTATTCTTAGTAAATTAAATAAACTCGGTACTCTTTAAAAATAATACAGTAAAGATGATTTCCCTGTACGTGTACACATTCGTGTAATGAAAATGACATTTTCCATCACTTTCCTGAGTTTTTCGGCTGGAATGAACTTCACAGCCTCTCTGATATTAGCCTTCAGCGCCATTATTGATTGTGGACGATTTTGTCGGTGATTTTGTCACCTTGTCAGTAGGTAACAACTGTTGGATAACTTGGATTTTGTAAGGGAATAATTTCAAATCACGTTTTAGTATTTTTCGCACAGACTATCTTTTTAGGTCAAGTTCTTGAGACAGCCGTCAAACAGATTTTTTAGGGCTCCTGATCATCGCTCCTCTGAATGATTCAACTGTTCACACTGTTCAAGGCCATCCACTTCTTTGTGCATGTTTAATACTTCCTGTACCACCAAATGCAGACATAGCACAATATGGACATCTTGATGGACTATCATGTAATCCAAATTTTTTTCGAAACTGCAACGACGACCGAATTTCCATTCAAGAAGTACAGTTCCACAATTACAGCACGATGTTCATTGCTCCATTTCTCCATGACTAGTTCAATTTTCTTAATTTTCAAATAACCTAACCTAAAAAAATCATAATTTCCTTAAGACTTATTAGATATTGTAAAGATATTATGACTTTTTGGTCACCCTGTATAAAACAATCTTTTCCATTTCTTACATATTTTGTTATTAATTTAGTGCATCCAAATCTTTTTCTAATTATATCCCTCATAGATTCACTAGGTTGGTGCCAGCGATGAGGGGAATGAGTTACGAGGATAGATTGAGCAATTTAGGCCTATATTCTCTAGAATATAGAAGAATGAGAGATGATCTTATAGAAACCTATAAGATTATTAAGGGGCACGACAGAATAGATAGTGGGAGACTTTTTCCCCTGTTTGGAGAAACTATAACCAGGGGTCACACTTTTAAAATTAGGGGTGAGCCCTTTCGCACTGAGTTGAAGAAAAACTTCTTCACTCAGGGGTAGTGAATTTATGGAATTCTCTACCCAAAGGGCTGTAGATGCTCAGTCCTTGAACATGTTCAAGACTGAGATTGATAGATTTCTTGTGGTTAAAGGGATTAAGGGATATGGGGATAAGGCGGGTAGGTGGAGTTAGAAATGATCAGCCATGATCTTATTGAATGGCGGGGCAGGCTAGAGGGGCTGAATGGCCTACTGCTGCTCCTAATTCTTATGCTATGTTCTCTGGCCTTGGCCTTCGCTGGACTGTGGTTCCACAGTAGCCCGTTGCCCTCTGGTACTTTGCTCAAGTAGTTATTGTTCATGTGTGTACTTCGGCAATAAGTGTCAGCAGGTCACTCGACGATAAGAAGGTGTCACAGCCAAGGTCACCTCTCTCCACACGTGCACACAACAACAACAACAAGATTTCATTTATAGAGCGCCTTTCACGTCAGGAGGACGTCCCAAGGCGCTGTACAGTTGGGTCGGGACCCGAGTGTTGGGGGGAAATGGTCAGGGTGAGGGGAGGGAAGGGAGGGGGCGAGGAGGGGGAAATGGTCAGGGTGAGGGGGGAAGGGAGGGGCGAGGAGGGGGAAATGGTCAGGGTGAGGGGAGGGAAGGGAGGGGCGAGGAGGGGGAAATGGTCAGGGTGAGGGGAGGGAAGGGAGGGGCGAGGAGGAGGAAGAGAGTCGAGAGGGGAGCTGAAGGCTCGATCAAAGAGAAAGGTCTTGAGACCGGCCTTGAAGGAGGAAAGGGAGGAGGCGGCGAAGGCACTGGGGGATAGAGTTCCAGAGCCTCGGGGCTGAGAGGCTGAAGCCCCGGCCACCGGTGGTAGGGGGGTTGGGGCGGGGACGTGGAGCAGACGAAAAACAATATTCTGCTTGTGCGAGGGGGGAAAAAAAGTGCAAAAATCTCCCAGCCTTTCCCTGGATGCGCACACCCTTATTGTATTGCAGCCACTGAAGCCTTTCTGCTTGCAAAACGGTGACTGGCTAAATTGAGCAAAAGTGGCACATACACATTAACACACACACACTCTCTCTCTTATCGCTCTTCATCTCCCCCCAGAGCACAGGGTCCACCCAGTCTGTGCCCAGGGCCCACGTGATCGCAAGCCCCGCCCACAGCCGACCTCACACGTCCATCACCGCCGCGGCGGCTCCTCATTGGGGCCGCGGATCATTGTGACGGTATCCGCGTCGTTCTGTGCGCGCGACGTTGAGACCTGAGGTTCCCCCCACACCCCTCCCCCCCTCCTCTGGCACTGGGCACTGCTGCTCTCTGTCACTGTCAGTGTCACTGTCCTCTCTCTCTCTGTCACTGTCAGTGTCACTGTCACTGTCCTCTCTCTCTCTGTCACTGTCAGTGTCACTGTCCTCCTCTCTCTCTGTCACTGTCAGTGTCACTGTCACTGTCCTCTCTCTCTCTGTCACTGTCAGTGTCACTGTCACTGTCCTCTCTCTCTCTGTCACTGTCACTGTCACTGTCCTCTCTCTCTCTGTCACTGTCAGTGTCACTGTCCTCTCTCTCTCTGTCACTGTCCTCTCTCTCTCTGTCACTGTCACTGTCACTGTCCTCT